CCCCTTCCGCGGGGTTCGAAACCGACGTCGGGGCCTCCCACGGAGGATCCTCCCGTAGGGCGCTCCGCCGGAGGCCGAAGATGACCTCCGTGAAGCTGGCGTCGGCGTGGAAGAGCAGGATCCGCTCCAGCGCGGTCCGGGCGGCGAGGTAGAGGAGGTCCCCCCATGGCTGCAGCCTCGCCGCGATCTCCAGGTGCTCCGCGAGCAACGCGTGGGCGAGTTGGAAGGCCTTCTCGAGCGACCCTTCGAGACTCCGCAGCACCTCCAGCTCCACAAAGCTCGGCAGGGGCGACTCCGCGTTGATTTGCGTGAGAAGATTGCTCTCGAACATCCCGTGAGAACAGGGGATGATCGGTAACAGTCGAAAGAAACGGAAAAGGAGAAGGAGAAGAAGGGGGGAGAAGAATCCGATGGATTTGGATGGATCGCCTTGTTCAGCCTTCTCGGCGTCGTTTCGTCGTGGTGGTGGTGGTTTGTTGTTCTTTTGGAGCCTTCGGACGGTTTAGCTAAGCGCGTCGATATCCTCAAACGGGGAAGAAAAAAGAAAGAGAAAGGTCAGGAAAAAAACAAAAGCAATTCAAATGGCCACATCTTCATCAAAGGAGATAATAAAACACGAAAGTGGTGGGATCGGTTTACATCCTGTTCGCCCATTCCACGGTGCCGAGGCAGGCTAGTTAAACTAAACAAGTATCTCAACGTTCAAAAAAAATAAATGAAAAAGACCGTAAACCCTCCTATATTACCTTGATCTGCAGTCCGTTCATTCTCTCTTCTTTTTCCACCCTTTCTTTATGAACCTGGCATCGTGCGTGGATTTTCAAATCCTACCCCATACGAAATCGTTCATATATCGATAGATGGTTTAGTTTGGGTGGTTTCTCACCTCCACGAAGTCTACGCGGTCGGATCGGGGAGAAATCCAAGGAGCACCTCGACGAAATCCTGCCGTTGCGGACCCTCCGTTGGCAGCTGGTGGGCGTCGGTTTCATCCGCCACGTGATCCTCACACAGCCGTCGGAGCTGAACCCCCCACCCCTGTCGAATACGCCGCAAGGAAACTTCGCTAAAAAGCTGATGAAAGTGCGCATCCAAAGGAGATGAGGGTAAACCAGGGAGGATTCCCTTCCTAGGGGAACTCAACTCCTCCTCAAAGGCCCCCAAAAGTCGGAAAAGCGCACTGCCGCTCGCACGCGCGGCCACCTCCAGCGCGATCCTCACTAATGGAGAACGCCCTTCCTTCCCTTCCGTCTCCTCCTCCACCCCTTCGTTGACCTCCTTTAGGGAGTTTAAAAAAAACGTGAGAGATGAAGAAAAAGAGGAGGAAGCGGGAGTAGCGGGCAAACTCGACGCTTCGCCCGCATTATTCGAAGAGTTTTCGTCGATTTGGCAGGGGGCGGAATCGTCCTCGGTTGAAATCCTCGCGAGCTGCACGAGGGCGTCCGCCAGGCAGGGGTGAAAAGGGCCGAGCAGCCGCCAGGAGAGGCCAATCGCGCGGCGAAACGCGCGTCGCGCCGCGGATGCATCGCGATCCTCCCCCCTCGCCACGGCGCCGACGAGAAGGAAAAGCAATGCGCGATGCAACGGCGACCACGCGATTCCCCCTCCTCCTCCTCGTCCTCGTCCTTCTTCACTTTCGCTTTTTTCGCCTCCGTTGTCGTCGCCGTTTTCGGGCGGATTCTCGCGATGATGCCGCACCAACGCACGAAGGAGGGGGGCGAGGGCGAGGGCGCATCGGCGTTGCCGAGAAGCCGAGGGGCGCCGTAGGGTAAACCCGAGGGAAGAACCCCCCCCGCCTTCGGGCTCGAAACGAGATCGCTTGCGAGGCCCCTCCTCCTCCTCCTCTTCTTCGCCTTCATTTTCGTTTGCGTCCGTTTCCTCCGTTTGTTCGTCCGTGGTCGGATCGATGCCGTCGCCCGCATCGCGCGTTCGTCGCCGCGTGAAGTCGCGATTCCATCGATCGGGTTCTCGCCGCAGCTCGAGTTCCCCCCTCCCCTCCGCTCCCCACCACAACGCGAGCGCCTTGAAGAGCTGCACGAGGAGAAGCCCGGGCGAGAGGACCCCGGCAAACGCCACCCGCCTCTGCAACTCCCGCTCCGCCGCGAGGATGTGCAGCATCGGCAACCCCACCTCACGCGCGATGAAATCCCCTTCTTCGGCTGCGGCTGTTTCTTCTTCTTCTTTTCGGGTGTCGTCGTCGGCGTTTTCCGCCGCGATCGGATCGCCTGGATGCGGGAAAAAGGCATCCACCACGCCCCCCCCTCCGTCCCCTCCGCCGCCTCGCGGGAGATCCCGCACGGAAAGATGCAGCGCGAGGGTGGCAACCAAGAGATGCCACTCCACCCGCATCGCGCGGGTTTCGCGATGAAACACCCGCATAAACCCCTGCAACTCCCACAACTGCCGAACCGCTCGCAAGACCTGAAGTTGGGTGAGGTTGTCCGCCACCCCACGCATCCACGCGGCCGTCTTGAGTTGAATTAAAAGCCGCGTTTGCATGAAAACGCTGCTCCGCAAGGGGGAAAAGGCCCTCGCCCGCGACCTTCGGGGGTTCCCGGAGAGCACCCACAGCCCGTCCTCGATCGCCGTCCACAAGGCGGGCAGGATGCGCGGGATTCGCGTGGGAAAAGACGCCCCCATCGCCTCCGCCGTTTCCCTGCCATCGAATCGCGGAACCCTCCCCCCCTCTGGGAGGTCGAAGAACGCAACGCCCTCGTCACGAAGCGGGAACCCCAACCCCGTCGAGGATGCCGCTTCCCGAGAAAGCCTCTCGTTGGGATCGTTTGGGGTCTCCCCGGGGTGGGGGATGGCGGGGTTGGGCGAGGCCGTCGCGCCCTCCTCAAGGGGAAACCCCGCGTTCGCATCCCGATCACACGAATAAAATTCTAAAAAAAGCATCACCGCGCGGCGAACCGCTGGAAGGGTCCACGCCGTATCACCCCTCCCCTCCTCCCCCCCCTCCCCAGGCGTTTGGGGATCCGTTAAGGAACGTTTCGAGGGGGTTCTCCCCGGATCCTCCGAAAGGGTTTCCGTCGAGGCCTCCATGACGGGTTTGCCGTGGATTCGATCCTCAAGGAAGGCTGAATTGCCCCCGTCGAGGGTGGAATCCCGACGAAGGAGCTCGCGGAGGAGGTAAAAGTCGCCCTTCAGCCCCCCCGCGGCCTCCTCGCCGGGATCCAAAAGTCGAACGCAGCGATCCAGGTGGCGTCGAAGCTCCCGTAGCGGGGAAAGCGACGACGACAGGGGTGGCGATCCGGTGTAAACCTCCACAAAACACGCGTAGCAGCGGTAGAACGCCAAGACGCGGGCGAGTTGGAGCGTCTTCTCCGGAACCCCCTTCCGAGGGCCGCTTTCGACGACGCCTGAGGTCG